CCTCTTTCTCTGTCTTTGGGAAGGTCACTACAGACAGGGGTGTCATGTTTCTACCACACCAGCTTAAATCAGAGGCAAAAGCTATCAAGCGCTTACAGGGAAGCATGTTTAATAAAGTTTCACACACTGTACATTGCTAGATATATATAGCCTCTGCATTGGATGACGTGTCAAAATCTAAAGAAAAAAGTTGGCCCCACTGAGTTATCAAATCCAGGGTGACTGTGAGGCTGTGAAATACTGTTGGCTCTTGAACAGCGTTTTTACTATAGTGCCTAGACTGATAATACTGGCAGGGTGTTTTCCATAAATGGCAGACAAAGGAAAGACAAATGGAGAGGCAACTGGCTCTCAGCTCCAAAAACTGCAAGGGCATCAGGTTTCACAGTCTGCCCAGAGGGACCCCAGCATGTTGTTCTTAGAGATTATGCATTCCCATTGTCACACATTAAATCCATACCCTGCTATCTGTGTCTTTAATGTGTTCCTATCGCCTGTCTCACATTTCTTTCCCCTTGCCCTCCCAAACGCCACATAAGTAGATTTTTTCTCCTTTTATGGATTTAGCTTTAGTATTTAAGAATGCCTTGCAACATCAATTTTTTCCTCTTTGAGGAAGAGAAAAAATAGGATAGGTGTGAGATGAATTTATCTTTTATAGAGGTGTCGAACAATTTAAGGAACTGAATGGTTCATTTTCCTTCGTTCATTGTGTTAGGTTAAAGTACAGATTCATTATTTTGTCACATGCATATAGATTTTTACTCACCCATCACAGCTCTGTATCTAACCTTAATATAACACAATGACAATCATCCCAGGGTACTGTCTTCCACAATATTGCAGGTTTCACATTATATGCATGGTGTTACTTTACTTTCTTTTACTTTAGCAAATCATATATTCACAAGAGTCTAAACAGCTGTAAACAAAAGTAAACTGTAGCATAACTCCCAAAATTTAAAATTGAGATTCACTACAATACTACCGATGTTTTAATTTAATCATACATACCGAAGACCGCAACTATGAAACAGAGTCTAAAATTCTGACTTTGGAGATTATACAGTATTTTTCTGACACACACTTCTCCACTCCTATTCACAGCTTTCTAAACTTGGGCTCTGCTTGTAAAATCCATCTTATTTAACAAAGTCTGTGTCACAACTGGCCAAACCTTTAATTAGCGAGACTTTTTGTTCTTCTTTAGCTCTGCCCAGCTGCATGGCAGAAAGTGACCCGTTCTGCACTAACTTGCTTGCCAAGGTCAGGGGTGACAGACAGCATTAAAAGACGGCTGGGGTGCTCAGCACTCAGAATTATCGAGGAGCTCAAAGTTGCTGGAGGGAGAGTAACTGCTGGATTAGCTGTCAGTGCTTTTCTATTATCCACGGAAGTGCAGAACATAGCGGAGGGCTAGTGAACCCCTCCTTTTTTTCATTCCATTGTAATAGGGAATTCGGTGCCACGTGTCAACGCCGGCTGTGCGATTCGTTTTCACAGGCTGCCGGTGGTCCGTTTTCCTGGCTTGAAAAGAGGGTTGACCTTCTTTTAGTCCTCCCTGCTCTTTTGCTTCTCGACAGCCTTGAGACTGAGCAGCATTTCAAACGCAGGACTTTAATGGGCTCATTGCATGCCTGGCACCTTGATCCTGCCCCAGCGCTTTTCTGAAGGACCCATCTGAAAATCTGGGTCCCGTTCGCAGAATAAAATACGTCTGCCTGGCAGAAATGATCAATAAATGCCAATTCACCCGTTACAAGTCAAACTGCCTCTTTTTCTTTCAAAACAAACTATACTGTAGATACACAGGCTGACTCTCGTGATGTTCAGCTAATTGTCACCAAAATGCTTATTACGATGCTATTAAAGTTCTACTGTACATTTAACTCTGCATAAAATGAGCAAAAGTTTTTAAATAAGAAATATTCTTGGTTATTTCTCTTTTTACAAAAGATAGACAACTACAGCTCAAAGACTGGGGCTTCTGCCTTTAGCTTTGGAACTTCTTTCCTTTGTAAAACTTTTTTTTTTACAGGCAGACATTAATTACTAAACTAGAGACGTAGCGGAACTTTCAAGTATATTGATCACTCCTGCTTGGAAACCTGACAAAATCTATTACTCATTTATTTTTCATAAAATAGAATACTTTCCACAGTCTCCCTGTTTCTACTAACTTACATCAAGGAAATCTGAGCTCCAACTCAAAGGATTGGAGTTTAGAGTAGAAACTTTCTCATTGGAAAATTGAGCCCATAACTCCAGCTGAAAACATATTTTCCAATACGAGTTGCCAGAGTAACAGAAAGTACTATAGAAGAATAGATGAGTCTGATATATTTTTCATTAGTTGCTGCGGTACTGGAAGCACACACATTTCAAATCTATAAAACATATCCCGATTTTTATATGTTTCTTTTTTTCAGGCTACTGAAGACATTTTGATATTCAGCAATAGAATATTTTTGTTCATGTACACACACAAAAAAAAAATACATTTCCATTACTGCATGTGATATTTTAAAATTGTGTCAAATCAAAATACACTGTAACTGCAAAAAGTAATATCGGTAATATTGTGCGTTAAAATGTATGCAAGTACTGCAGGCAACACAGTAGAGTCCATGCAAAATACTCAGCTGACAGCACCTGTGTACCAGGAACTGCAAGAGCTGCACATGAAAAATGATTCTAAGTTACAATAAAATGGGTAGTCAAAGGAAATTAAATCAGCAGTGGCTCAGGACTAGATTTAACTTTCCCGACTCACACCCTTCAGAATCGCAGCAGCTCAATACTGAACAGCTTACTCAGACTGACCTCTGACCCTGGCACTGCATCAGGCACAAATCAGTTTGTTTGTAAGGACCATTCATCATGATTAGAGCAATCAGGATTAGGGACGGGCAAGTCAGGCTGGAGGGTTGGAACTGCAGGTTTGTTTCTGCCCTGAAGAGAACACAGCGAGCTGCGCAGGGCAGAAGCCGATATTCCTTCAGTGCGAAGCCTCCGTCCTTGCAATCGAGCCGGCGGAAAGGATTATGTGGAGAAGCAGGACTGGCGGTTTATACGCAATGATCCAGAAAGCGGCGCGCACGCTTACAGTAGTGTGGAGAAAAGACCTCAGCTCCCATTTCGCATCTCCTCACACACGCTGATGTTCTTTCCCCTCGCCCTCATCAGAGAGTGCACATAAACGCCACCCACAGTGAAAGTCAGCAAGGATACAGGGGAAGTTAACTAAACCTACTTAAGGGTAATTTGTAATACACAGGCAATTAAACTGACATTTTGCTCAGAAAATGGGCCATACGTTCCGACAATAAATGATCATTCTTTGCCACCACCGCATCTTCTATCCAACTAAATATTAAAAGCAGGCAAAGGATGAAAGGGAAAGCTTCTTCTGCAGGTTAGTGGGCAGTAGATGAGGCGTCAGCAGGCAGACTACCAACCACCACATATTTTCTTTGTGACTGGCCAGATCAAGAAAGGCCTTTATCTGTATAGAGTGTCCATACCTAACAGGGAAGCTGGCTGCAAAAGTGGCAGGTGTAGAAACAATCATTGACCCCACTGCACAGGGTATGATGAAAGATGGCCCATTCACAAACAGCTGCTCTGCCTGCAAGAAGCAGGGCAAGAGAGGTCCCAGGATCTTACCAAGGTAGCTCAGCCATCACAGCTGTACCAACCCACTGATTGGTCAGACGTACACAACTACTAGCATATTGTTCTGCAGGTCGGCAGAAGTCCATCCAGAGGTGTCTACACAAGACCTGGATTCATCTCTAAAGTGTACTTGGCTCTAGTGCAGGAAAGTCCAGCTGCCAACATACTGATGGCACAAAGGCATTGTTATTTTGGTAACTAAAAACTTATTGGTTCTTTTCTGTGTTTTTAGCCAAATTTGACACCCAACAGGTTAAATCACCTTGTCTCCTGTGCCCAATCAGCTCTCACTAATGAGATGATTGTATTGCTTATGCAACTGTCATAGTCACTCAAGTGTATCCCAGTCAGTCATGAATGACTGATTCATCAAAATGGTGTCAAAAACACGTAATCAATATTTAAAATCAGAACCTTTTATAAAGTGATCTTTTGATGCTCTGTATATTTACCATGGTAAGAGATTTCTTCTACACACGTTTCTATATGATGTACAACTGAAGACCACTAAAAAGTTCACTATAGTCAGGAGGATGGCTGTCCTAACTACATTAATTGCAAACACTGTCAGGAGAAACTGAGTTCCTTTCCTATTACACATAGAAATAGCAGAGCAAAAGGACGACTTAGTTTTAAATAACAAACAGTTCCTGGTGAGGTCATTATTCTGAAAGACGGTGTAATTTAGATCTTTCTGACCTTACACTCCATGATGTGGTCTAAGAAACAGAAATGGCATTTCCAGATGTCAGAAGGCAGCATTTTCTCTATCTGTTTCCCTAAAATCAATTATCGAAAGAAAACCTACTGTTTCAAATAATGAAATGCCAACTCTCCTTACGCCACTTTGAAATCTTGATGGCCATTTTTAGAAGCTCTATACTAGACAAAATAGTCTGGTAAATGTAACTTAGTATTATCAGTATAACTAAAATTAATATTATAATTATATTTTATTATTATATTACCATGATTATTTTTCCTTATCCGTTAAATATATTTTGTGTTTTTTTAATATATGCCCAATAACAGTATTTGAAAGATGCAGGAAACAGAACAACAGTTAATCTATATATTTATTTCTTAAATGTTTGTTCTTATATCCTTACAGTCCTCCTCAAGAGGAAGAGAACAACAGTACCTGGCAACAAGTCAATCAACATCTGAAACCCAATGAAAACACACCGCCCATGGAGAACAATCATAGTTACTGTAAAGACCATCAGTCTTCCACAACTTGATCTTTCCAGAGCAAGCCCATGTGCTGAGCAGTGAAACCCAAATGGCGCCCCGTGGCATAACAAGAGTGCAGCAGAGTTACTTACTGTGGCAGTGCCAGAGACAGTCTGTGCGCTTGTGTCGGGGCCGGTCTGTTCACTGTGCGTCTGCGCTGGGGGGTACATGTTTAGTGTGTGCTCGGGGACTGTGGTCTGGCCTGTGTAGTCGGGCGCAGGGTGGGGGTGAGGGGCTGTGTACTCAGCAGGGATGCCATTCTGCGGGGGCGCAAACTGGGCTGAAGCATAAGGCTGTGCCATCGTTTCAGGAGGTGCTGTGGCGTCCTGATTACCCTGGAGGAAAAAGAAGAAGGAGATCAGTTTATTTCAGAGTTAATTGCAGAGCTGGAGGGGGAGGGGCGGGGGATGAAGCCAGTAGGAAACAAACAAACCGAAAAGCATCTGAGGCAATCCCTGAAATAAACCAAAAGCATGATGTTTCAGTTTCTGTTTTGGGCAACCTTCAAAGATCAGCAGTGCATTAACGACTTAACCACATGACATCATTGGGGGAATTTAAAGGGCAAAGCATTTTAAAATCTTTACAACTTTCAAATTTCCAGATAGCTGGGTAGTCTGACAAACACATCTCCCTATCCTGTTCAATGCATGAGAAGCATTTGTATTTTACTAAACTTTTGAGTTAGAAGTGCACAATTAGCAAATGCCTCAACTTCTGCGCCAGGTATTTATCAGAGCTGTTTCAGTTCATCATTGACTGCAACAACAGTGACACACACTTTTTAAAAACCTAAAAAAAAGCTCAGAGCCTTAAAAACCTAACAGCTCATCATTTTGCCATTTATGATACACCCTATCAAACTGGAATTGGGTTTACTGTTCTGACCCTGATCCCTGCACTGGAGTTCTCACACGTCTGACAAGTTCCTGGAGTTTCTACTGCATAATAAGCAAAGGATCCCCTCACCCACTTCAGCCAAAACCGAGAGCAGTCGGCCACTTGTGTGTCACTGTTCCTGGACTCTCAGTCAGTGACAAAGTCCAGACTCAAACTGGTGACTCTCAATCTACATTCCAGACAAACTCCTTTGCTATTTGAGTCTCTGGGCCATTCTAGAGCCCACTGATCCAATCGGACACGTCTTATCCAAATTCTGATCAGACACAACTTGAGTGAGATCTGTTGAATCCAAAAGAAAATGCCGTTTAATATTCTACAGTTGAACTGCAGCAAGCTTTCTAATTTAGGAGCTACGCAAACTAACACATGCCATTAATTAATTATACTGCATTAGCAGAATAATAATAATATCTCAATATATTACTCAAAGCACGCGGTTTCATTACAGAGACAATAAATCTTTGCAATGAAAAATTCATGGAAAGGTCAAAATACCTCAATATGAAATCTCTAATAAAATAAGCAGATTTTAAACTTGAGATAATCACACCTACGGCTAAGGTTTTGAGGCTTTCAGTTCAGGTCTGAGAATTATACCAAATGAGAGAAACTGCATGTTTCTATTGCAGCCTCTGAGCTGGATATTCATAAACCTTTTGAGGCAAGGGGGTGTTTATTTGTGTACGCTCCAATATAAAACATTTTCATATTACATGAAAATCCACCGTGTAAGCAGGTGTGAGGATGTACAGGTTTTGGCAATGAAATATGTACAGCACTCAAATCATCCTATTCCCTTCCACTACAGGATTCCAGTAGTGTTAATAAGCAAGTATGTATGGTATTTATTAAAGCCACATGCAAAAGGATTCAGAAAACCTATCTAACACTAAAAACAAACTTTCTGAAAAAAGGTGATGTATCATTCAGCAGGCGACTCCAAGTATGAAAAGAAATGGTGTGCTGAGTTTGCTGGTCTTAAATTGCCATTCCACAAAATGGATCGTCATCAGAAGAGGAGACCACAAATCACACAGCACTCTGATGGACACAGAAAACCACATTTTTGGCAGAAGAGGCACTGAGGAAATTGCTAAGCAATATTTTCTGTGTAGTTCTTTTTCTCCTCTTTTCGACACTTTTTTAAATAACTCTAGCATCTGCAACAGATGCACCAAAGGCCCCTTTGACAAGAACCAGCAAGCCCACAGAGAGTATATAGGTTACATCATTAGACAGACGTAATACCAGGAGCAATACTAATGAGCAGAGAAGAGTATTAAATAAAATAAAAAATTATGCCGAGACAGACGACACGAGAAGGAGTGATTCAGGGCCCGGGAAAAGGGATCCTTGTAAAATTCCCTGCTGCTCCTCCTGAGCTCTTAAACAGATGTTATAGAGAGCATGCTGTTTCTCATTAACACCATCAGCACTTTGCACTGGGCCTTCATTAATATTCCTAAGCAAGCATGCTTTCAGATAATTACTGCTAATATTTAATTAAGACTGCTAAACTCTCCCTCACTTTCTACAATGAGTAAGTCTTACATTTTTTTTTTAAAAGTGTCACTCTTAGGACTAATTTAGCCCAGCAGAAAGCAAAGTGTGAAGTCCTGGTGCCTGGACTCTGCTGGGACTGTTTCACTGAAGTCATTATATTCCTTAAGCTGCTGTGAGGTTTTTGGAGTCCCTTATAAAATAGTTGTTGGCAAACGGAGGAAGAACAAAGGATGGCAGACAGTCAGGCTTAGCTAAATGTTTTGGCCTCAAATCTAATGAAAACCACATTGTGAGCTCTGAAATATGCTTTACGTGGCAGTGTATGAAATCCGCTACTTTATTGCTCTCGGCTTTGAGGCAGCTCGTAACAGAACTGAACAAAAATATCTTAATTTGATACAGGTCACTGAAGATGGCACGCTTTTAGAGGAATGAAGAAGACAAAGCAACTTTTTTTTTCCCTTTTCCCCCCGAAGTTGCACTTTAGTTAGTCAGGTTCACAAAAAAAAGCCACCTCGCCAGTAAAGAGCCTCAAGCAAATCATTTTCAGCCTTGGTAACAGCAACGTTTTCTCCGGCCTTCTAATAAAGATTTCTGTGACAGCCGATAACGGTGCACAACGGTGTCGCTGACCAGTCAAATACCCATCAGCTCTTCACTTAACTACCTTTTCATACTGAAACAGGATACAAGATGGGAACAAAGAAAAAGCTTTCCTTTAAGTACAGGCAGTTCAGAAGCCAGGGGGGGGGAGCGGAAAAAAAAGCATTTAGTCTTCTTTCGCAAAAGTCAGCAACTGAGAAAGTGAGAAAACGGCAACGTGAGAAGACAGCAGTGTGTTTCTAAAGCAGGTTTCATTTTTAAAAAAAAAACAAACGAACAAGCTACAGCCCAGCTCATTTCCCTTGTGACACAAATTACACGAATACAAAACAACTGGCGAACTCCAACTCTGCTGAACGTTACCGCTGCAGCCAGGGTGAAGTCAAAGAAGAGCACCAGGCAGGCTCAGAGTACGACAGACACGGAGAGAGAAAGAAAGAGAGACAGAGAGAAAGAAAAACAGCTGCTCCTAATTCAGCTCGAGTGCAGTTGCACAAGGGGCTCCCTCTTTCTTCAAGGCACACTCACACACGAATCGAAGACAAGGCTTGCCCTTCACTCCCCGTCCACAAAGCACAGGAAAAAAGAAAGCAGAAATACAGGGAGAAATAATACCTGCTGCACCATCTTGCTCCCTTTTTCCTCCATAAACTTAGCAGCTGCTCTAGTCCCAGGCCCTCCAGCATCTGCCCAAAGCAAGCATCAATTATGGATGAGGGCGTGTGTTCACTGTTGTGTGTAGAGTGTGTGTGTGTGTGTGTGTGTGTGTGAGAGAGACAGAGTGTGGAGAGGGAGGGAGGGGGGTGGGTGCTGAAGTAGGGGGAGCGAACGCAAGCTCTTACTGGCCTCCCACTCTCCCTACATCTGACTGCCCCCAAACCTCATCCAGATGGGACTCTCTCCTGCCTTGCTTCCTCGGTTTTCTCTCCCTCTCCTCTTTCCTCAGCGGGCCTTGCCCCATTAATCACAGCAGGCCACTCCTTTCTGTCTCGCTACCAGATACTGTGTGGAGCAGCAGTGGCCTAGACATTTGGAAGCATAAAGTAATGACACATCTTGGCTGCATTAATATACTGTGTCTAAATGAAGGTGGGTGTGTGTACGGTTGTGCACTGGTGGGTGGAAGTGAGTGTGCACTCTCTGTAGCATGCTAAAAAAGTTAACGGGCTCTGCAGCCAGGATATTGCACTTCTTGATGCTGTACTTGCTCATTTCAGGGAAAATGAAGCTTGGGCAAATTATTGTTTTAGAAAAAAAAGTCTGTAGCACATGCACAATCATTGGTCCAGCTAAAAATGTCTATAATATATGTATATGCTAGAAGTAGAAGAATATCTCATACTGTGTGCTTCACATAAAACATCTGTGAAGATGTTGTAAACATCTGAAGCATGTACTGTAGCTCATGCTCCTCAGGGATTCGCATGCATACTATATGTACTAGTATTCTTGCTATATCTACTATAAAAATATGAATATATGCGTTAATAATACTCGTTAGACTTCAACAAAGTCAAGCAATTCCAATGAGCTATATTTGCAGTCCAGTTGTATTTGTAGCTTATTAGTGTTTTCAGCATCTTAAAGGATGTTCGGAGTTGTGATGACTGAATTTAGTTTTAGGTAAAAGAACTCGACTCTGGGATTCTTCTGACATCCAGGCATAAGTCAGTTCTGGATGACAGGTCTGCTCTACAAAGCATCCATTATTTGCTAAAAGCACCCATGTCAATCCTTTTCGTCTTGAGATTTTCCTTTTTATCCATTAGCTCCAAAGCAAATTCAGTTCGCTATCCACAGAAAACTCATTTATATGCATTATGTATAAATCCTAAAGCAGATAACTGGGCATCAACAAGAACAAATAATTACTACAAGATATATAGTCATAGACTTTGTGTAACTTGTGTAACCCTAAATTTTATCTGCCTACATCACTCCACAAAACACCGGCAAACTTTGAAATTCTGGACCATCTGTTAGAGTCGATATTGTGCTGTAAGACAGGCAGAGGGAGGTCTGCTGCTGCAAAAAAGGCCAGTACAGGCCAGTGTGCAGGAGAGAGAGGTACTAATCCTCTGCTTCCAGGCCTCACCTGATCTGTGATCTGTGACCAGAGCAGCTTTTCCCAATGGTCCAATCTTACAACTGTACCTGGGGCCATTGATATCAACTGTGAAATTTAATCCCCCTTCAAGAACGGGGGTGGCAGTGGCCTGCATTAACTCTGTAACACAGAAGAACTCCCTCTAGTCTCCTCTAAACTGCAGCACAAATTTACTGATTTAGTGAGCTATTTTAGATTAAAAAGATCTAAAAGATTTGC